TGAAGCAATCCAGGGTGGTTGACATTGACAACCTGCTCCAATAGGATGCTCTTGTCACGCCCTTCAGCTCAGCAGGTGCCTGCCAACCCTGTTGTTGATGGTTTCAGGCTGATTTCTCCCTTGAGCTTTACTTGGTTTAGACTACATCTCTTTTTCAGGATTGCAAACCAGCCATTATTGGTTGGAAATTTAATGTCTTGCTTTGTTTCTATCTTTTCTTATTTCATTTTCTCAAGCCTCAGCAGAAGTCTTGTCTTTCCCTATATCATCTTGGTGCTTGAGGAGACATTTCTTGTACTTTCCTTTCCACAGACTAAGAGGAATGACCGTGACCAGAAGTTTTCTCTGTGCACTCCCCAAAGGCCAACTCATCTGGTTAACGGAAAAGGTGAGCTCTGCATATGGTCATGGGTCATGTCATTCTGCTTACTTCAAGGGCCTTGAACTGAACTAGAAATCTATTAAGGCATGATAATACTAATGACAATAATCAATGGTAGATATAAAAGCAGGCAGTTGCAAAGTCATGATTGGTGGGAAAGTAGTTTAGACTTTGTTTAGAAAAGAGTACTCTCCTTCAGTCCCCAGCACAAGACATGCCTGGGATACATATTCAAAATTATGAATCCTTTTTTTGTTTTTTTTTTTAGAGATGGAGTCTCACTCTGTTGTTGAGGCTGGAGTGCAGTGGTGTGATCACAACTCACTGCATCCTGGATCTCCTGGGATCAAGCTATCTCCCCACCTCGGCCCCCTAAAGCACTGGGATTACAGGCATGAGCCACTGTGCTGACCCTCAAAATTATGATTCTTGAGCCATGTTGAAAACACATAACTGGAGTCTTGGATTCTGTTTTGTTAATATCTAAGATGAGGCCATTTACAAAACCATTTTAATAAGTCTTATAGATGTTGATGTTTGTGAACCACTATGAGAGGATCCGAAGCCCTGATATTCCCTTCATATATTATTAGCATCAATTTTATAGAAATGCAAGTTTTGAATTTAGTTCAGCTAGTCTTCTGCTTTATTATCCAGTATCAAAAAGTAACCAGGCAGATTCTGTATACTTAAGAATCAGAATACATTAGAAAGATATCTCAAGACCTCATGCTATTTAGTAAACTTTTTTGTAATATCAAACTTTATGATGATATCATTGACTCCATGTATTCATCTTTGTCTCACATGCAGGAAGAATAGAAAAACAATTGCCATCTGTCACAGAATGATTCTATCTGCACACCTTTCCCAAGACGGCCCTGAGACGTGATCCTTCTAGGATAAATGAGCTACATCATCATCTAATAGTTACTTCATGACTATAATCCACTTGGATATACCATGGGCAACCTAAGCAGATCCCTAACCAAACGCAGCATCTTTCTCCATCTAACCACCCTGTCCTGCTTCTGGGCTTTGTTTTCTTAGTGAAAAGCATCACAGTTCTCACAGTTCACCTAGTTCTAAGCTAGTCTTACCAGGTGAGCTGTGACTGCTGTCTCCATACCCAGACAACCATGAAGTTCTTTCCATAGTTCCTCAGAAAACACTTTAAAATATCTCTCATTTTTTCCAGCACCCTTAATTCAGGGGTTGCAGACACCAGTGTCTGTAGGCACATAAACAAAGTCAGCATATGCATAGAAACAAAGGGAGCCTGTGTGTGTGGTGTCTCCTTTCTAAAATTAAGGAGTAGTTACCGTGTGTCCGCAGTGGAGTGCATATCTCACCTAAAGGCATTCAGAAACCCTTCCCCCACAACATACGCACATTATCCAAAAATAAGCCAAGAAAACAAAATGACAAATGTGTAGTTTTCAAGCCCTATTTAGTTTGCTTTCTTAAATCATGTTTTCAGTGTCCTCATTTGGATGCTTGTAGATTTTTAGATGCCTCGGATATCCCTTTCCACTCATTCTCATTGTCACTTGTGAACTCCTCTGGAAGTTAACTAAGATCATAGAGGGTTTTTTTTTGTTTTGCCTGAAACTCACATGAACCAAGCATAGCCATTGCTCTAGAAGAGGACTGCAGGGAAGGGGAAATAGGTGAATGTGGCTAAGGCGCTAGAGAAGGTAAGGTAATTTTGGTGTGGTAGGAAATTGGGGTGGGTTTTAAGAGGAATGGTTTTATTTTTCCGTACCATGTTAGAAAGTTAGAATACAGGAGTCAGAGGGATTCCAGGAACACGATGGGGTGAGTGGAAAACAAGGTCTCCCTTTCTCTTCCTGTGATGGGTTTTCTTCATTTCCTTCCTTTTTCATCCTCCCATCCTCTCTCCTTTCTCTTTTCTTTCCCTAATGCTGCCAAAGCATCTGACCGCTGCCACTCTATTATCTCCATTTCTTTATCTTTTTTTTTCTCTTCTTCTTCTCAGGCTTTCAGTATCTTTTTCACTCTCCACTCCAATGTCTTTCTTTATATTCCATAAAATGTCACTGGAATCTGGATAGTAACAACGTACATTTATTTTTGTTACCTACCTTCAACCTAACAAATAAAAAAAATTGGATGTTCCATAATTTCTCTTGTCCAAAAGATGATTTATAATTAGTTACATGTAGTTTACCAGTTGTATTTGTTTCTCAAATTCTTTTTTATTCCAGTTAGTGACCCTAGGTAGAAAATGGCATTCTTGGACATAACAAATTGCACTCTGTGCATCAATATTCAATGTCATGGGAATTACATGAATGCTGGATGTTGAAATTATCATTAGGGGGAAAATTAGCTGAAGTATCATACTTGCTTTTTTATTACTATAAATTATCTTAGCCAAGAAACAAAGAAAGGATAATGGGCATTTCAACCTGGCAGATAGATCCAACTGAACTTTCGTGAGAAAGGAGTCACAGAAAAGCTTGATGAAAAAAAAAAATATTTCTAAAGCATAGCAAGTACAGCTTTAAAATATGTGCAAATGTTAAAACTGTTAACATTTTATTAATATAAACAGAAACACTCAGAATCATGTGATATGTGTATATATAATTTGAGCAAGGTGCATAATTCCAACGAAACATACACATACATATAAGAATTATATCCATGTGTTTATGTGTGTATATATATATTCCCCAAAAGTGTAGATGTTGTTTGTGCAGAAAAACATGAATAGTGTCACAGACTATTATAATAACTGGAGACATTAATAATCATCTCAACTTTAATACAGTTTTTATGATAAAGAAACCAGACTACTCAGAGAGATGATGAATGAAAGATGAAGAATAGAAGAATTTCCATTATTGAAGGGGCACCTGTGTGTAACTAGATGAAGTTGGTATAGCTTTGCCTCAGTGTTCCCAGGGAGAACTAAAGGCTCTTCCCCACGGTGAGCAACCCTCAAATGCTGCCAATGTCCTTGGTTTGTCTGCAATGAATGCTGATGGCCAGTGATGGTCACTGGAGCTCAGTTTATTTGATTAGGCACATGTACTTTCTGGTAGCAAACAACAACAACAATAAAACAAATAAAAAACCTAGGGGAGGAGAGCTAGGAAGGCTTGCCAAAGCCTGAGCAAATAGTAGACATTTATATGAGAATAGGCATGCAAAGGTGTTATTCAGAGTCAGGACAGGTGCCATGAATGGGCAGTGAGCTCACACAATACTCCATGAGTGTATACTTACAGGTGAGGGACATGTATGTCTTTGGGTATGTAACTCTTAGGGAAGAATATAAAGACTCGAAAGGATGCTAGGTATCACACTGATAAAACAGAGCAGTTGTATTTCTATATGCTAAGCTTGAGCAATGGATAGAGGAATAAATGTCAAGAGGAAAATAACATTGTTCCACCTTGTTTTGTAGAATTATGGATCCTGCAAGAAGATGTACTGTTCGTGGAAGGATGAGGTGGGTAGCTCGGATGCTTTCATGTCTGGGTGTCCTTGGAAAGCCAAGGACAGATAGAAACACAAATCAGGACACATCAGTAAAAGATGCCTGCTGGCACAGAGGAGGGCAGGTGAAACTACCTTTGCAGAAGAGGTTCATTTGAAAATGCTCCTGAAAGATATGTTATCAGAACACTATCTTAAGTAGAGTAGATAAGACTTTGAGAACCTTGAAAATGCTTATTGAGGAATACCTAGCATTTATCTTGCTTTCCTTGATTAAAGAACATTCATACATATATATTCATCCTGTGCTGATAGGTAGGAGATGGGAGGCCAGCCCAAAGAGCTGACCAGTCCCTATTCCAGAAGTTCTGGGTTGTTGCATAAGTGAAGAAGTATGCTGATCTGCTTTCAAACTTCTGTAAACTTCAGCTTAGTGGTAGAAAAGTCAGAAGATCCAAACATTTAGTTTCAGTGCCTGAGTAGAACATTTACTGATTTTCACCAATTCCATTCTCATCACCTTGGACTAATATTATCACCATCTCCCCCAGAGACCATTGCAGCAATGCTTGTTTGGTGGTTGTCCATGGCTGAAATAGTAACTTTAGAATCAAGGGCAAAAGTGAGGGAGGGTGATCCCCACAAACTGTTGATTCTTTGGTCTCCCATTAGACCCACTGAACTAAAATATCTAGAGGGTGATACAAGGAATACGTACTTTTCTTGGCTTTCCAGGTAATTCACTTGAGCCCTAATATTTTCAAAACATGGTAGTAGTACATTTTCCTGGTTTGTTTTAAAAATCAACAAGAAAAGGGATTATCTTCCTCTCCACTTATACAATCTGTTTAAGAGATCAGGTGAGCTGCTAATTTCAGGAGAACACCAGCACTTACTGACTGCCCAGATACCTGCATCTAGATCATGGAAGCATTTACAGCACCAGGAGGAAAATAATATTCTCATAAATGCCAGCCTGTGAAAAATAGCACTAATGAATCTTTATGTATTTCATGAAAAATTATCTTATTATTCAGAGAAATCAATCAGACTAAAACCAGAATTCTAAACCCCACGATTATCTTGAGGCTTCAAGAGAAATCCTGTAATCTGACAGGTGAGGGGACAGACCAGGAGAGATTGGGAAGTTTTAACACCGGTAAAACTTCAGATTCAGGACCCAGGTGTTCTGAATAAAGCCCAGGGATGTATTCACTGTATCATCAGTCTCTTTTCTGTCCTTTTCTTCCCCATCTTTCTTATGCTAGAAACACATTCCCACTTCAACAATCCTTTATCACTGCTCTGATGATGAGTGATGCTTTTCCTTTCATTCCCAGTTTTTTCTTATTGTTTAGAATTTACACTCCAAACCTTGGCTTTCTATAGAGGATTTTTTCTTAGTCTTTCGAAGTCACAGGTTTGGAAAACAAACAAGCAAACAAAAAACTTGACTGCTTCTCTCAGCACTAGAAATAGTTATAGGTGGTGAAAGCACATTTTTGTTCATAAGTATCATTTTAAACTAATTTCTTGGCAGAATTATCACTCTGCCAGGTTCTTTTCTGTGTCCTTGCAGCCCACACTGTACCTTCAATCAAATGGCTTGTATCTGACATTACATCTCTTGTAGCACAATATCAAGTACCATATAGCAATCATTAGAACACAAAAGAAATAACTATTGTCATATTGAAGAAAAGATCCCTCAGAGAACAGGTACCGTTAGCACTGGAAATGGGACCTTACATCTCAGTCAAGTACCTTTTTACTGTCTCCAGAAGGTGGAATTATCTGACACATTAAATATCCTATTTGGATAGCAAAGGGATTATGAGAGTTACTTTCTGAAATAAAAATAGAGGAAGATATACCTCAAGTCAAATCACTGTTGTGATATTTATTTACCAGAATTCAATTTGAATGACCTGAGCATTTTATTGACAACATCTAAAAAAAATTGTCAATAAAAATTGATACCATATTAGACATTAGTTTACACTGCACAAAAATTAATTTTTTAAAAAAGTAGGCATAAGCTTAAAATGGATGACTTCATTTCTTAGTTTTAAATCTTCATAAACTTCTTTTTATAAATCTAAGCTTTTCAAAAATTTACTCATCTTATTTAAAAACTTCTTAGCTGGGTTAACAATGTTTGTCATAGCTTTTAAAACTTAAAGCTGGCCGGGCGCGGTGGCTCAAGCCTGTAATCCCAGCACTTTGGGAGGCCGAGGCGGGTGGATCACGAGGTCAAGAGATCAAGACCATCTTGGTCAACATGGTGAAACCCCGTCTCTACCAAAACTACAAAAAATTAGCTGGGCATGGTGG